ATATATTTTAATTATTTGCAAGTGCAGACGCCCTAATGGCAGTAGCTAGCTATAGCACTTGCAGAAATTAACCAATTCAATTCAATTCAGTTTATTTATATAGCGCCAAATCACAACAAAGTTGTCTCAGGGCACTTTACAAAAACATTCACATACATAAAAGCCAATTAGTAAAGTTCTCTATCTAAGGAGCAATGCAAAAATGACAGCAATGCTAAGGTTTAAATGAAAGTTATGCTACATTCACAACATCCATCCATCCATCCACCTTACCCACTGGTGTTCATATCCAGCAGTCACTGTGTGAGGTACACCCTGGACAGGTTGAAAGTCCTTCAGAGGGACACATAGAGGCAACGAACCATTCACTCTCTCACTCACACCTAGGGATAATTTAGAACTACCACTTGGACTAAGATGCATGTTTTTGGTCTGTGTGAGTAAACTGTACATGGAGTAAACTGTACACAGAGCAAACAAATGAATTAATGAAGAAAACGTGCAAATTCGACCCAGAAAGGTCATCATGCTGGAATTCGATCAGTCAACCTTCTAAGAGATTTTATAAACATGTTTATAGAAACTAGCATATTTTAAGCATGCGTATCGTCCTGGTTCAATGGCGTCAACAGATGATAAAAAAGGTGTCTAAGCCAAGCTGACTGGGAATTTAAAATGACAGTGTTGTGTGTAAACAGGCGTAACCTGGAGGCTTAGACGAGAGCGGTTTGTGCTCAGTTTGTTCAACACCCACACACTGACTGTCACCAAAGCAAAAATAATAACTTGACTTTAAAAGCATCCTTCATGTCAGCGTTGGAAACACAAAGCCCATTAATACAGAGCTCCTGGAGGTGTAATGACAGGCCAGTGATGAACTTCAGCTTGTGACACGACGACTCAAACAACAGCCCTGCTGATCCATTCTGACAGGTGATGGATCTCCAGCTTACCTGTAAAAAGCTCGAGGTCTGAGGGTTCCATTTCTCCTCTGGTCTGCCGTGCCACGTGTTCAAGATACTTAAACACACCTGAAGGAAAAAAAAAATCAATGATGGAATCAATGTCAGAAGAATGAACTATAAACCACAAAATAAATATTTGAGGCTCCCACAATCCTGAGGTTAATTCAAGCTAAAACACTTAGAGCCACTGAAAAACACATTTAACAGGAACAAAACCAACTAAACTGCAGAACTAAAGCCTACTGCTCGTTGTGAAGTTTTTTCTATATGAAAATGCACAAAAAAATTAATTAAATAAATAAATATATATAGTGATAATACATTCTTTAAATTTTCTCTTTATTGACAGAACTCTATATTAAAAGAATAAGCAATTCAAAGAGCATGTCCTACAAGTGAACAATTTCCACCAGGCACTAAAAGACTGCTGTTTGGAGTTTACTGGTGCGTCAGAGAACGACAGTGATTTTCAAACGTGAGAACAGTCATTGAAGTGCACTAATCTGAACAACTCATTTAAAGTATCTGTCAGTCCTCCCTCAGCACCTGGTGGTAGTGTGCTGGGGTGTGGGCTGGTTGTGTCGTTTCAGCTGGTTACGCACTTCCAAATCTTTCTAATTGCGATGGAAGACTGCCACGTTGACAAAACAGGGACAAAAGAAGTGCAGAATCTTTGAGGACGTTTTTTTCCTACAAGCTATGACTGAACAAACGTCAAGAAGAATTCACTGCAGATGTTACATAAACTTGAAAAACTACTGAAAACTGAAACGTGATGAAACCTTCTAGTTATGTTTTTGTATCAAGCATGTACTCTGACAGGACGACTTTTCTTGCACCACTTTACGACATAGTGGTCATCTTTCAGTAGCAATGAATTCAATTTTATTCAATTCAAAAATACTTTATTAATCCCAGAGGGAAATTAAATAGAATAGAGGGAGAGCTGCAGTAAAGTCTGCAGCGTCGGTATAAAAGGCATCTCTGCTCTCTGAACATCACAGTTCGCTCACGCCAGGAGTCGTGTACCCATAAAATTAAGACATAATGGAATATTTAAATAAAGACAAAATAAAAATGTAAAGTGAAACACAAGGATATAAAATGTTTGAGTGTGTAATATTTGAGAAATGTCTAAATACATGTGGATGATTACCAGATAGTACTTCCTCATGACAGTCCCCTTCTCTAGCATCTTTGTTACGTCATGTCAAGTGAAGAGTTGCCTTTTTTACATTTACTAATAAGAATTTGATACAATTACAAGTTGATTTCTCTGAGCTACAACTTTCTTCATTCCATCAAAATTCTCTTCCTGCAGTTCAAACATTTGTCTTTCACTCAATCGTAAATGCTCCTTCAATTTGTAAAGTCCCAGGATTTTATCACAGCAGCTGTCGGGGTCCGTTATATAAACCAATGTGAGGTGTCAGCAGCTGCCTAATGAGCTGCAGCTCCTGAAGAGACTTTCAACACTTTGACCTCAGCTTCTCCATGGAAGGAAGCCAGGGCAACAGAGAACAACTCCACATGTTCTAACATGCCAGGAGGACGCCTGTTTCCAAATGTCACGTTAAAAAATAATCTGGATATCAGTGGGACTTGTAAGGTTTTAGGATAATCTGATAATCTGCTTGAGAAGAGGCATGGCTTTCTTACTGTGCTCATTACGCAGTCAGTAAAGATGCCAGGTGAGCAAGAAGTCAACTTTAGGTTTCCGCTGATTTTCCCTTCTGCATTAATAATTAAATGTTACTGTTGGCAACAAAACCCCACATAGATAAACATCTGCTAAACTACTGCCGTCAAAACGTTACAATATGGAGGTCTTTGCCTGTTAATAAGAGAAAATGTGTCATTAATAAAACCTACTCTATTTGGTTGCAGATGATAATAAAAGATTAAGCATCAACTAAAAATAGATTTTTTTTGTAGTTTTAAAAGGAAGCCTTGCAAAGTTTAAATTTAATAGTAAATATAAAAATTTTAATTTTAAAAATCAGTTCTAAAGTTAATTAAAAAACATATTTTTGTAGAAGTTATAATGGAGTATAATATATATAATAATATACTATAACATATAATGAAAATATAAACTATAATGGAATTATGTACTATTATTTATTTTTAAAAATTAGAACTGAGAATTCATGTTTTCTCAACTTGACTGGGACCGAGTTAAACTGCTGCACCTTTCTAGAACACAAGAACTATTTATTTATTTTAACTCGTATGAATTACCCTGACAAACAAAAACGTCAGCAGTTTAGTTTTTTAATCTACCTTGCCATCGTTGTACAGGTTAGGGTTGAAGCGCACACTGTGTCCCCCTGTGGTCTCCAGATTAACCAGGGGAGGTGAGTTGGGGTAGTCCTGGGGAAAATATACATCGAACTCGAAGCAACCGTTGGCGTATGGGGTGTCTGCTGGGCCTGTGATGAGAACCTGGCAACACAAGCACAGAAATGAATCAGGAAACTGTTTTCAATTTCAAGGTGCAAATCATTTCTGGAGTTACACTCGTTCATTTACAAAAGATAAGTAGCAAAAATGTTTATGGTATTTGTGGAAAAAATACAAATAAATCCTACTATTATTTTAATTAGACTGAAGCAAAAATGTACAAAAATAAATACAGATTAATTGGTTATAATTAGAAACACTGTTTTTCACTACTTTAGTTTAAAATATATGAGTCAATAGTCTGTAATAAAAACAGGCCAAATTAAACAAAAATATGGAAATACACAAACACATTTTATTTATTAGTTGTGCACTGGCCAAACAAATCTAAAAACACAAATACGAATGTTTTGTGTCTTTGACTCTTTGCATTGTCATTTTAACACATTTCAGTGTTTCCCCTCGGTTACTTGCCTTGGGAACGCGCTCGTCTCTGGTTTTGTTTTGTTTTTGTCAGTGGAGGAGGCGGGGGGGGGTGTTGTGTGCGTTGAAGCGCTACATTTATATTGCTCACAGTTTGGAGTCTGAGCTGAGCTGATAATGTCCCCATCTGGAAGTGGCGGAGCTACGTGGGGGGTGGGGGATTTGGTAGGCGGGGCACTCTGTTCTGTTGACAGGGCGGGACGCCCCCTTTGAATAATGGACTGATGGATTGAAAAGTCTGGGGTGGAGTGTACCAAGAGGAATGTTTAGGGTCTCTTGATTTGATACAGAGATCAAACAAGATGGCCAAAATAAAAACAAACAACCCCCCCCCCCCCCCCCACACACACACACACACACACACTAAATAAACTGCATGTGTGCAAATACAACTGCTTTTACAGACAGTACTGATGGACTGCAGTTCAGACGTAACACAGCCTCTCTAAGACCCCCTTTACACTGACTGACTGTCATGGTACACTCTCCACAACCGATAAGGACACAATTGAATTGAAAGTTAAAAAAAAAATAATAATAAATAAAAAAACCTTTAGTATGAAGACAGAACAGATATTTAAATCTATATAATCCTTGTCAAAATTTATAGAATCCCTAATCCTGAAGGATGTTCTTTCAATTGATGAATTGTTGTTAAAAAAAAAAAAATATCAGAGAAAGGAGATTAGGAGAAAACCACTGCACAATTATTAGTTTGTTGCACCACCTCTGGCTTTTATAACAGATTGAACTCTCTGAGGCCCCAACAAATGACCAGCTGTACTCTTCGTCAGTCTGGCTCAGGTTGTCTCTTATTGCCATTTCCTGTTTAGCTTTGCAGGTTGGAGCCTTGTACTTGTCCCTTTAATTCAATTTCCACTAGACATTTTCTACTTGACTGAGATCTAGACTATTTAGCAGGTCATGCCGTTGATATTGATATTTATATGACATTCACAAGGAAAGACATTTCTACCTCTCCAGAAAATGTCGGTATATGCTCTTTTTTTCTTAGAAATGTTTTTCTGGAAGGTCGAGAAAATGCTTATTAAATAAAACTTCAGACACAAAAACTTGTTTTTACTTTGTAACCACAGCCAGCCTGAAAAGTATGTTTTTTTAAATAGTCGTGCAATTTAATCTTCTTGAAAGTTTATTGTGCTAATAATTATACATAGTTCGTGGTAGTTTAATGCGTTTATTTTTAAAACCAACTTCCCACTGCTTTTCTGTCAAAACTGTTTAACATACGAGTATTTTGACATTTAGCAAAGGAGACGCTGTCGTTAATCAGTCTGAGGTGAGAGACATTTATTCAAATGTCAGTGGAGTTAATGCACGGTAGAAACATATGACACATAGATGTCTACTATAAACAGAACAGTGTTATGAATGAGCTCATGGTTTCAGCTCTGTTAAAAATGGGTACATTACCTTCATGATGTCTAGCCTCTCCTCATCACAGCGAACAAAGACACTGGAGGAGGATGAAAGAGGCAGGGAGGTGGACAGGGTCACTGCCTCCTGGGCCAGGCGCCGAGATCGGGCTGCACTGTTTGTGTCGCTGGCATTTTTAACCTGAGACATGTAGTGGTAGTTGACCTTAAACATCAGCTTCCCCTCCTCGTCTTCGGAAACCATTTCAAAGGTGTCTGTGAGGAGAGGACACAACAGGAAGTGATTCAGACTGTCAAGTGTTTAGTGCACAGGCTGGCAGTCTCATTTCCCAGCGTTGCATCTTCCCTAGGGATTTGAGTTGCCCTCTGTGGACTTCAACTATAAATCATAAGAGGAACATTCATCAATTCATAGAGCTTCATTCATTCATTGTCAACTGTTGCAAATTATTTGACGGATATGTTTATGTAAAGAGTGGGGTTATATGCATCATGCTGTCTGCAGCAAAACAAAGAAATGAACATAAAAATGTTACCTACACCTTGAAACACTAGTTGAGTTTAATAGACTGGAAACAAATCCTGCCTGTCCACATTAAGGTAGGGCAATACAGAAAAGACAATTCAACAGGCATGAAGACAAAATCAGCAGCACAGAGCAGCTTCTTTTTATGGGGTTGCTAAGAAAAATGTATCTATTTTTCAATTGTTAAATTAGGCTAAGTCAAAAAGTGCATCTTAACCACATGCGAAGCAACATTGTTCAGTATTTAGAGCTCAGATTTTTACATCTTAATTCATCTTAAATGGTGGTAGTATCCTTATTTTAAATTATAAGTATTTAAGAATGTTTGTAAAAAACATGTCAATTTACTTTTAGTTCTACAACTGCCTATTGATGCTGCGACTCGTGTTACGTCTTAGAACAAATACTGACCTTGAAACGTACATGCTGAGCTACATTAACTAGCCATTTTTATTACAATAAAATTTGTTTTATCAAAACATTGCGACTTGTTCAAACAAATACATTTTGTAGATTTGTGCTAAGCAATAAATTGTAACAACAGGCTGGACTAAAACCTAAAGAAAGGTTGAGGCTTAGCTTGGTGGAAATGGATGGGAGCTGATGAATCTGAGAGGATCAGGGTGTGTTACAGCCTGCTCAGGTTTCAATTTGAACTGGATATTAATATACAGCTTCAAATCCCTAAAAGTAAAAATGACCTTAATTAAAATAGTGTTTAAAAACAAACAAACAAAAAAAAAGCAGGCAGACTCAGACAATTGTTGATGATCAGTTTAATCACCCAACCCTGGTCTGGACGCTAGTTAGCATTTGGCGTTATTTTTTTAATAACAAACTAACGTCTTGTTTTAAACATTCTGTAGAAATCCTCATGACGCGTCAGAGCATGCCCATGCTTTGTCAAAAGAGCTAATTATTATTATCACCATCATCATTCACTTCTTGGTCTGCTGCCTTCATACATCTCCTCCTACATGTCTCTGCGTGAGTGCAGCTACAGCGTGCGCTCTCAGGACATTATTACCTGCAGTGTTCCCTCTGAAGACTGAACTTAGCAAAAGTTTCTTCTCCTACTCCGCTCCTGTTTCCTGGAATATCTTACAAAAAAACCTGAAGCTCTCGACCTTGACCTCTCTAAGTGACTTTAATTATCTGCTAAGTTCATGGCAAAAACTAATACCATGTTCCTGTTTTTAGTTTTATACATCGCTTTACAACCTAGATGTTTTTGTTTTGTTTTCTTAATATTTTTCTTTCCTTTTTTTTTTCAATTTATATGCTTTCTTTTTTATGGTTGTCTACTGTTGTCATCATTCGTTGTCTAAATCTGGTCTCTCTTGTAAATGAGTCCTCGAGGCTCAAGAGACTAACCTGTATAAATAAAGGCTGAATTAATGTTTTTAAGCACTTTTGTTTTGTTGCAATAAAATTCAAGGCATCACAGAGGAATAAAAATAAAACGTGAATTTAGTTTCACTTCCAGTTTGACGTACAATAACAAAACCCAAGTATAACTATTGTACTGTGTAATTTTCTTATGCTTCAAGTAAAAACTCTTACTAAAAAATAAACATCAAACTATGGATTTTTACAGTCACCAACTCAAGATTAAAACAGAACTCCTCTGCTTTTATGGTTTTATGTAGCCGATACAGAAACAGCACTGTTTACAGTCAAGTCACTAACAATTAGTTCAGACAAGCAGCTGCTTGCAAAATCAATCACAACACAGCAAAGACTGAACGGAGAGAAACAGACAAAAGAGATCTTTGTTCCTTTTAGCAATTTGCCATACAGACATTAACAAATAAAAACCAAACAGCAAAGCATGTCTGTACACCTGGTGGAAGCAGGAAGGCTAAACAGGAATGATGCATGTAGGCGTCACTTTCTCAAACTTGTCAGCGCAAATATTTACACTTATTTTTCAAGGCATAATGAGCATCTTGGAATTCATAAAGCAAGAGTCATGAAACAATAAAACCAGAGAGACAAAGTTGTAAACTCACCAAACTGGAGTTTCTTCATGGCAGCAACAAATTTTTCCTCTAAAGAACGGAGAATGGACAACGGCTTCGGTCGGCTGCAGACCTTCTTCGAAGACTCAACTAGTTTCCGCTCTTTTAGATGAAAAATAAACATATTACAGTTAAAAAGGTAAACATAAAAGGCATATTTCAATGCTTTGAAATAATTAAAATTTGTGGTATGGGAGCATATAGGTGTTTTATTCAGCTAATTTAAAAGTTTCAATACCTGACAGACAAAATCTAGTTGGCTGTGCATATCTGTGAATGTATGACTGGTTTTTTGGACAGCCCAGTAAACACTTTCAGCATGGCCCTGGCTTTTCTCACAGCATTCGTTGTGTTTCAGAGGAGCGTGTACTGGTAAGTGCTTTTGTTCCATAAATACTTTTTAAACCTGCTGTCGAGGGAAAGTATATGCACGCACCATGCTCTATTGTTTTATCATATCAACAACCTTTTGTAGACTCTACCGTCATTGTGTGCATGTGGTATGTTATTATAACGCCTTAGTTCACTGGCATCAGTAGCAGCTGGCCAGATGTGCCATCAGCCCTTCCCCCCATAAGAATCCTTGAGGAATGTTTACCACCAGCAGCAGCTCCCTCAGTGTGTCTGTGCAGTTGCTGGGTCGGTTCTGATAACAGGTAAGGGAGGGGGGAGGCCACTCCCCTGATGAGCTTCTACAAAACGAACCTTTTCTCATCAGGAAGCCAGAACCAGCGAGGAACCGAGGCAGAGCGAGCACTGGCCGTTTCTGGACTTGTAATGTTTTGCTTTCTGGATCTGACTGCTCCTCCACAAAGCTTTGTGGTATTCAATTTGATGAAATCTACACGTGATCGTTCATGAATCAGTTTTTTTCTACAACACCTGCTAAATATATAATTTATTTTGTTCTAATTTGTAAATGAATATATCTCCAGTCTTGAACCTAAAACAATGATAATTTTAGTATCAAGATCTGATGACTATTTTAATTTTAGATTTCAAATATCACCTGAGGTATTCCTTTAAACATTTTAACATGAAATAAAACTCCGTGTTGAAAAGTCATGTGACTGTGCCACAACAATCTCAATTTCAGATCAAATAGCAGCTCTGACAGTATGAGCACACTGCTGGTCCCATGTTGGCACAAACTTCTCAGACACAAGCAGACTCAGTGCAGAACAGATGCACAGCTGTGATATCCTCTCCTGAGGCAAGACGACACACAGTGAACCTGTGGTATGATGATGCCAGTCGATACACGGTGTACTGGAAGGAGTTTAAAATCTGTGGCCCCATGAGAGGTGCAGATGTCATAGTTCTGTAACACTTGGCAAACAATAGGACAATCCTTCATTTGCGTAATCTGTTTGGGTGCAGTTGTGTACTCATTTGTTTTGATACAGGACCACTGAGTCATCAGTACATCCCACATGCTGAACTGTTACATAATACAAACTCCACAGTTCAACTCCTATTAATCTCCATCATGTGCCACCAACGGCACATGATGGAGATTCACTGTTTGTACGAGGCATCCTCTGTGTTTGCCGCCCTTTACTCACCATTTTGTCTTACTGTAAAATGCACTGGAAGCTGCCTGATAACAGCGTCCACTCATGACACCACTTGTACACTATGGTGCCCGTTATAGGATTCTCAAACTTCTAGCAAAGCAAATATTTTACTGGTGGTCACTGGTATGCATACGGATCAAATTACACTAAATTAGACCATTGTTTGTGACCGTTTTAAGTCAGTGAGTGTATTGGAAAAACATTATCCAACCCCAGATGAGGTAAACAGCTCATGAGACCAGAGGAGCAGCTGATATTATCTGTCTTGGTATGATCGAGGACTCTGTCTTTCCTTCACTCAATACTTCCATCCTCCTGTTTGATTGTGACGTCTCTTAAAATCTATTTCTAAAGACGCCTTTACTAATTAAATGAGTATATATATCTGTCAAAGCTTTAAAGCTGCCAACTCTACATTGTACAGCTCTGTACATTAGGCCACCTTCATGTGGATTTTTTCACATAGAGACACGTCATTGATCTTTAGCTATACCCCATCTCACATTCACACTTTCATCACATCTAATGGCCAACACACCACCTAAGTGATCAGTTAGACGATCATTTATGTAGTCCGAGCATAAAAGAGCTCTAAAGGGAGCTTGAAGAAACGAGGGTGAGGGGGATAATTAATATTGTGTACTGTATAGCAACAAGGTAATGCGAAAGGAATAATACTTCATCGTGCAACAAACACTTTATTGATGGCGCAGATTCTATAAGGTGACTAATGACTAGCTTGAAGAAGCTTCTTTCTTTCCTTATTACCTTATTAAAATATCTCTAACCTGAACTCAATTAGAGGTGAGAGACCTTAGGTAGCCTAACTGAGACTTGTAGTTTTCATGTTTTAACCATGAGGGCAGGACAAAAAAATAAAAAAAAGTGTATGACAAAAAGATTAACTTGGAAAATAAAGTTTTATGCACTTAATAAAGTTTGGTTTAGGTTAAAATAAATTTGTACTGAAAAAATGTCCCAGGTTTGGTTTAAAAACTGCTACATTTCCACGTGTTTCATACCCTGGTTGGCCTGCCGTAGACTGGTAGTAGCAGCGTGGACGATCTCAGCTGTCCGCTGGATGTCGGGCACTAGAAGTGTCAAACCTTCAGGCTCAGGGTCTGAGCCTTCTGCTTTGACCACACCTTTGCTTTTATCTTTCTTTGACCTGGAAAGCACAAAGACACATGTCTTTGGTAACCTGAAAAACTTAATTTGTTAGAGCAAAGGTTTTTACTTTGAATTCAAAGTCAAGGTAACAAATGTTCAGCAAAATTATGTGGCCAAGACATCAAAGTTCATGCTCACTAATCCAGGTAAACAATACAACAAAGTTCAGTCAGGTCCTCTGGACGGTTTCTTTGTGTTGAAACTTTTCCTTTTTCATCCAAAAGACTTCATCAGTCCAAGGAGCTACAACAAACTCAGTCCACTCACATAGTGGGCTAAAGGACCTGACTTAACTTTGTTAGATTTTTTTTTACCTGATTATTGAACATGAACTTTTATGTTTTGAACCACTTTGGCCATGGCTGCTTGAGATGAGTCGATTGGGGGGGGGGGGAGACTCCAGAAACCATCTTATCACCATCAAACTGGCTGACCCACTATGCGAGTGTGCTGCTTATGGGACTGTTTGTTGTGGCTCCTGAATCTGAATCTCTTGTTGGAGGACGACAGCTCTAGCCACTGAGCCACAGTGACCAATGTCTGTTTCTTGATTTCTGTTTCAAGTATCATGCATGACAGCTTCCTGAAATTATCCCTGTTTCATGGAGTTATTAGAAGGGGAACCTCAAATAAACCATGCTGCCAGAAGGACTGCTGCTGCAACATTCATGACAAGTGTTTGCTAAAATTATCCTTGGATACATCATTCATAATATTTTAGCTCTGATGTGCAAGCAAGCAGTATGCATGTTTGTAAACCTGAGTTCAGCATGTTGTCAAGAAGCTTCCAGCAGCAGAGAAGAGTTCATTCATTCATTGTAAAGTCTTCAGACCTCTTACACATACAGCGCCTATAAAAAGTATTCACACACTTTGATGTTTTATCCTGTTATTGGCGTCATAAATCAGTTGTGGTCAATATAAACTAATTTTTTTTAATTAAAAAAAATCTTCAATGTCAAACTGAAATAAAGTCAAAGTTCTACAAAGTAATACCTATTAAATTAAAGTATGAAATGTAAAATAAGTGACTGCATAAACTATCACTCCCTTTAGGTCAGTATTTATTACAAGCACTTTTGGCTGCAATGCAACAGCACCGAGTCTTGCACATCTGGACACTGGATTTTTTTTCTACATTCTTCTTTACAAAGCTGCTCAAGCTCTGCCAGGTTGTGTGAGGATCAGACATGAACAGCCCTTTTAAAATCAAGCTACAAATTCCTCACTGGATTTGGATCGGGGCTTTAATTCAGCCACTCCAGAACATTCACCTTGTTGTCTTTAAACCACTTCTGTGTCGTTTTCACCATTTCATTCGGGTCATGGTCTTGCTGGAAAATAATTTTCTGGGCACGTTTAGGGCCTTGGAAAACCATCCCATAACTTGTACTGTTCAATAATCATCTCTGAGTTGTTTGGAGCGTGTTATTTTGTCCTCATGGTGTAATGATAGCCAGACATACTGATTAACCAGTGACCAGACCTTCACACATGTTTCTATACTGCAATCTCTTGAGACACATCTACAGGTGATGACCATTTTACTATCTGTGAGGCTAATAGCACCAAGTGGCTGGACATCAGTTAAATTTGAACAATCCTTTTTAAAGGGGGTGCAATCACTTATTTTAGATTACATTTTTATTTAATTTAATTGTGAAAATTTGATCTAACTCTAAAATTGAATAGTATTGTTGTTGTTAAAAAGGCCAATTTATGTTGACCATGATTGATTTATGAGTGCAATAAAAGCACAAAACATCCAGGGGGTAAATATTTTAATAGGAACTGTTGACTTCTGTGTTGCTCCACAGAAAATATGTTACACATCGCAAAGACAACCTAAACCATAACCCCACCTCTCCTCCCCAGTAGGATTATTCTACTTTACACTTGGGCCTTTTGCCACCATAATAAAAAAGCAACATTTCTGTAGCTGTGTTGGAACATCTTCAAAATAAATTGCGACTAAATCTTAATGAGTCTCCCTCATCCCCGGGGCTACTGTTTGTTTTTTTTAACACCAAGTGCAAAATAGGCACAGAGATGTAAAGATAACCTGCTAAGAATTGTTACATGAACAAACAAACCAGTGGGGTGGTGGGCTAAATAATTATGCTATTCACTCATTGTTTGAAGATGATTTTGTGATGTTTTATGATTATCCATAACACAAATATAAAATAGAGTTCATTACCTGAGGCGATTTGTGTATGTGTCAACACACGTCTTCATTTTAGCCAACAGCATTCCTACAGAGGTCTGTCCTTCAGAGTGCTCTTCATCCTCCTCTTCGTCTTCTTGTCCGGGGTCCGCAGACAGAGGCAGCAGCAGTGGAACCAGGGAGGTGTAGGTGGAAATGGCTCTTAGTAGCTCCAGTAGAGCCCGGTACAGTGGGACATGACGTGCCATATCCAGCACTGTGGAGACAAGAGAGACACAGAGTTTCCAGGAGCTTCATAAAACTCTTATCAAGGACACTCAACCCATGCTTCATTGTCCAGGTGAACATTTGTTCCTGATTTCAATAATTCACTCACATATTGGCTGATACAATAAGATGAACAAACACAACCGACAGGGAGGGTCAATCTCTTAGACAGAAATGCAATGTAACCAATTTTCCCAAAGTAATAAATTGAATAAATATTATTGGGGTGAGATTGTTGAGAAGAAAATGCTTGAAATAATGAGTGCTATATTGATGTAGTAGCCCAGTATGAGAATGTGAATGATTGTTTTACACCTAGATCTTTGTAGAACAAGGTTAAAAAGTGCTATCAAGGTATGCACTAATATTAAATTATACAACACATATGCATTGCAGCACTTATATTGGTGGTTACTTGTTTGTGTTACAATTTTCAGATCACCATTTCCCTTTATCTTTGGAATCTACTTATCTACTTGAAATGAAAAATACAGTAAAACCCGTTTCTTGATTATGACTAATGTGCTGTAATACAACAACGTGACTTATGTACTTTGGTAGCACAGCAAAGATAAATTTGCAAGACACTGTGGAAAAGTTCTCTTATGGCCATTAATGAAACTTTTTGTAAATGAATGAGCAAACAGGGCCCTTAAAGACTTAAAACTAGAGGAAATAAAATTAGTGAAATGGGGCAAAATAACATGAAATTTTAGTTTATTATAATAAATAGATATGATGAGTTGAGAAAAAAATAGTAGTCAAACCCATGTAAAAAATGTAAATGCATGAAAGGCAGAGATGTAGAGTTAGAGCTAAAGAGATGTGGACTGTGTGTATGACAGTTGGAACACCTTGGTCCTTTCTAATTTCACAAAGCTAAGCTGACAGCTCCTACTTCTCGCCCACAACCAAAGCCTAAAATAACAGAACGTGGACAGCCCTGCAGCCTGAGTCAGCTTGAGACGTCTGCTAAATGAAAGCTCGCACTTGGCAGCAAACGCTCTGGTCAGTTGTAGAAGAAAAAAAACTCAGCAGCTTCATTGCTCTCTTGGTTTTATTTATGTTTTTATTTACTTCTTACTTATTGCTCAAGTTTAGAGATTAATTATCCTGATATTCTAGTGAATTTAGTACACAAATAAAATAAAAGCATTCAGGAGAAGCTGAAATTCGAGCCCAACCACAACAATATTGTTAAACCCATCTGTCCACCCTCTTACGTTTATTTGTGGTACGATCAGAGGGAAAAGTTCCAGAAAAGAAACCCAGACATCCCTCATCAGTTTCTCCTGGGAGATCACAAGGTGTTCCCATGACAGAAAGGAGTTATCCTTCCAATGAGCTCTGGGTCTGCTCCTGGTCTCCTCCTAGTCAGACACACCCAGAAAACCTCTAGAGAGGCACCAGTGAGACAGCCTAAGCAGATACTTTTGAAGAAAGCTAATTTCAGCCAAAGTTGAGAAAATAGATGTATCACTAAAGTTAAGGTCTGTGCCTTAAGGTTCATCTGTTTCTTCACACTGCCAGACTAGAGCAATGCCCTCATTAATGCAAAAGAGCTCCATCCTGCCATCACTCATGAACAAGGCTCCCAGACACTTGAATTTCTCCAGTTGAGGCAAAGACTCACCCCGTCTCTGGAGGGAGCATTCCATCACTATTTACCGGTAGTTGTGAACCATAGCCTCAGACTAAGAGGAGCTTACAAGTTGATCAGGTGAACAAGGAGACATATTGTACCTTCATCTCAAACATTTGGAACATTATTGTCATGCCACCACTAGGCCTGTTGCGATAAACAATAAATCAATTAATCGCATGATATATGAAAATGATTGACCTTATTTTCATTTATTGACTTTATCGTTTCTGTGCATCTCTCTCTTTCTAGTGACGACACTGGATGACAAAAAGCTCAACTCCTGTGTTCTTCTCTGAACCCCCCCATTCCTATTTTTCGCTTTAAAAACTGTTTTAATTATCCAAAATCGTGTTTTTGGATCGTTAAAAGCAGCTAAACTGAGAAGCTAAGCTACGAGCTAAGCTAACAGGCTGACCTCAGGGAAAAAACCTCTGTCTTGTCGAAGCTCCAAAATTCATGGTTGGAACCCGTGTCATCATGTAAAAAGTTGTTTTTCTCTGAAAAAAGAAGCTGAGAACATGTTTACTGATTTTTTTAATTAAAAGCGTTGTGTGAAAAATGCTATGCTAAAGAGTTGATACCACACCAAGCGGCCGCCAGTTTGAGGACTATAAAACAGGAATGAGAGACAGTCCATGTCACATCAAGGGGCCTCCCTCCCATTTTTCTTAGAGAGACACGCTGCTCACTCCCTCACTATCCTTCATTTGGTTCAAACTTATCTTCAAATCTTATACTGCCATCCAGTGGTCAAAAAAAGGTACTACACACAAAAATAAACCAACAGTTGTTCTTAAAGGTAACAATAATGACTAATTATTGTCAAGTTTCAAACATTATCGTTTATCGCAATAAATTCTGAGACAATTATTCACCCAGAAAAATTTGTTATTGTGACAGGCCTAGTCACCACATGCTCAATGAAAAATCAGCAAGGAAATGTTACACAACTTAATTTACATCTCTTGCTACAACTATTTATTTATGTTTGGCTGGAAAAACATCAGCTAGTCAGTACTGCTGAAAAGACGTTAAGGAGGGAAGTGTAATGCCCGAGACTGAGATCAGGTAAATCAGTTTGTAAGTGTTGACTTTTTAAACAAAACCACATTCAATCTGGATTCAATCCTGAAGTGACCATCGGGAACTAGTTTTACTTGGACTCTTTTTAGAGAATCTTGCTCTAGAATTTTTTTCCTAAAGTTGGGGTCGAGACTCCACTGTGGATATTTTAATACAAAGTGAGGAATCTTGAAATGGTCATTAGAAATCAAATTAAACTTAATGATCGTTAAAATATCTTCCTTCGTTTCATACACTCAAAACCAGCCACTAGGGAGCACAAGCCAGTGTATCTCTTGTGCCGGTCCCAAGCCCGGGTAAATGGTGAGGGTTGTGTCAGGAATGGCATCCGATGTAAAAGACTTTTGCCAAAACCATAATGTGAGTTCATCAAAGCAAAACCATACCGGATCGGTCGAGGCCCGGGTTAACAACGACCACCACCGGTGCTGTTGACAAACAGGGTGTCAGCGGAAATTGTGCTACTGTTAGTCGAAGACCACGAGGAGGGAAACGTGTCAGAAGACCGAGAAAGAAGAGGAAAGTGAAGAATGTAGGGCTGAGAATTGCAACTCTAAATGTGGGGACAATGACAGGCAAAGGTAGAGAGCTAGCTGACATGATGCAGAGAAGAAAGGTAGATGTTTTCCAAGAGACCAAGTGGAAGGGCAGCAAGGCTTGCAGCATTGGAACAGGGTTCAAACTGTTTTAGCATGGTGTGGATAGAAAGAGAAATGGAGTAGGGGTGGTCCTGATGGAGGAGTTGGCCAAGAATGTAGTAGAGGTGAAGGGAGTGTCAGATAGGGTGATGTGCCTGAAGGTAGAAGTAGAAGGTCTGGTGCTAAACATCGTCAGTGGTTATGCTCCACAGGTTGGATGTGATGGGGAGGAGAAAGATACATTTTGGAAAGATCTGGATGAAGTGATGGAGAGTATTCTCAGGGAGGAGAGAGTGGTGATCGGAGCAGACCTGAATGGACATGTTGGTGAAGGAAACAGAGGGGATGAGGAAGTGATGGGTAGGTTTGGTGTCAAGGAAAGAAACCAGGAATGACATATGGTGGTGGATTTTGCCAAAAGAATGGAAATGGCTATAGTCAATCCCTATTTCTAAAAGAGGGAGGAACATAGTGTGACCTATAAGAGTGGAGGAAGGAGTACACAGGTCGACTACATTCTGTGTAGAAGAGGAAAGCTGAGGGAGATTGGGGACTGTAAGGTTGTGGCAGAGGAGAGCATGGCCAGACAGCATGGGATGGTTGTGTGTAAAATGACTGTTGCTGTGAAGAAGAGAAAAAGAGTAAAATCAGAGAAGAAGACTAAATGGTGGAAGCTGAAGACGGAATAATGTTGTGATAAATTCAGAGAGGCGCTGTTAAAGGCTCTGGGTTGTAAGAAAGAGCTTCCAAATGACTGGGCTACTATAGCAACAGTAATTAGAGAGACAGGTAGGAAGGTACTTGGTGTCATCTGGACAGAGAACGGATGATAAGGAAACCTGGTGATGGAATAGTGAAGTGCAGGACACCGTTCAAAGAAAGATTAGCCAAGAAGAAATATGACAGTGAGAGGACTGAAGAGAGGAGACAGGAATATAAGGAGGTGGGACGTAGAGCAAAGAGGAAAGTAGCTAAGGCAAAGCAGAGGGCGTACAATGAGTTGTATGGGAGACTGGACACTAAAGAGGGCGAGAAGGACTTGTACCTAGGGGTTGAACGAGTATATAATTTTTAAACTCGACATTAACATAATAAAACCCGAGAAGAACTCGAGTATTTGATGATGTCATAGATCTCAAGATACAAAAATAAATAAATAAATAAATAAATAAAACTACAAAAAAAAAGGTAATTATTTACAAAAAAATAAAAGACCAACAAAACATTGGGAGCGTATATTATGCTCCTACCATTTATCATACTGAAAATAAGTCACAGGAAAAACTAAACTATCAGTTATTATTATTAAACTGCAAACATGAAGAAACATGCAGCACGTCAAAAACAAAACTTAAACCGAAACTGGTTCTGTGGATTGGACCCGGTGTTACACCATACTCTGTGACCTGCAACAGTGCAACACCGCCCCCTACGGTCATACGGTGGTCACATAATATGACGTCACTACGTCTACTCGACGTAACATTTTTAATCTCGATAGATGTCCTAGCAATCGATGTGTAGATTACTCGAGTACTCTGTTAATGCCCTACTTGTACCAATTGGCAAGACAGAGGGATCAGGCTGGAAAGGATGTGCAGCAGATTAGGCTTATTAAAGATA